ATTAATTGCATTCACAAAGTCTACTTTGATAATGTTCCAGTATGCTTTAATAAATGAATATGAAATGCCATCACAGTCAGGTGCAATATTACCTCCCAATTGAATGAGAACGAACTCAATCTCCTCCACTATGAGTTCCTTTTATAGCAATCTTCTGTCTTCGTCATTCAAGGTATTCCTAGGCATTGGACTCTGCCTACACTTTGAGGGTGTAAGAGGACAACGGTACTCTGTCGTACCGGGTAATGGTGGAAGAGAGTTTTTGGAATAGAGTTTTTGTGGAAAAAATAGAGAGAACACTTTCAACAAAAAGCCACTCTCTCTCTCTCTCTCTCTCTCTCTCTCTCTCTCTTTACATAAGAATGAGCATTTAATGAAAACCCTATATTTTAATTTTTATGACTAAATCATTCAATATGAACTCTCCATTATATAATACAATTAGTTCATTCTGATGAAAATATGTTATCCAAATCTCTATTTGATTGGACTATTTGATCACCATTGTATAGTACAACCACTTCAACTAGTCCATAATTCATCCCATTCAACCATGGATGAGATGAACTAAAATTTATTTTGTTCATACTATATGATATACATAGTTCATACTATATGATATACATAGTACTGCTATATAAATCCTTGATGATTGCAAATTAATTTGATTCCAAAGTTTTCACATAGAATAGGAAAGATTTATAAATATTTATATAGTACAAATATTTCAAAATTCAAAATTTACCTACTTATGGAATATAAGAAAAAACAACAAATTATTTGAAATATCCAATTGTCTATTATGAAGTCAGTCGTTTAGTACGATTACTTATTTTAAAGTAACCTCAATTTTTCATTTTTAATGAATAATTGATTTATTATGTATTTATAAATAATTGTGTAGTATGATTGGATCATATAGTTTGATTTCTTAGAGAAATCAGGTAATTTTAATTTTCAATTTATAATGTCCTAGCTCCCCTTTGTGGTGTGTGCTCAGTTGTTTGACTATTTTGTACATATTAAATTAAATCAAAGAAAAAAATAGTAACATAGGTGTTATGACACTCTTCGAGTTATGTCCTTTCACTCCTACCTTACTTGATTCCACATTAAAAATTTCTTTCAACATAGGCACTGCTAACCCACTCGACTCCATGCCAATTGGCACACTTGCTCCATGGTTCACCTTCTCTTTTTTCCTCAGGCCAACTAGATTTCTTTGCTTATCCTTTTTTATAACTCACCTTTTATAGTGTAAAATGAATTAGGGATCTAAATTTATAGTTATACATGTATATGTAGGTCACTTGTAGGCACCTAACAAGTATTTCTTTAGGAACATGATCAAGGTAGTCACATGATTACACAAGCATTCACCCAAAGGAAGCATGATCCTATAAAATATACTGATTGATGTTAGCCTATCAACCAAAAACCACTCTCTCATGTGCAAAATAGTGGTATAAGGACTCACCACCACAAGATGGCCAAATGCTTCATCATGCTATATAAGCTCCATTAGGGATTCATTTAAATCCGTTCATGTACAAGGGGATATTCACCTTGATAAATCTTGCTTGTCTATGGCAGCCTTCCATTATTAGGGTCATCTACTTATCATTGACATTACTAATCCAACTATAAGAAGCACACACTTAAGAACCTCAAGGCTATGACCTCCTTAACTAGATTAATCCTCGATTCACAGTTATTACCTTTGAAAGTAAGTTTCCCTTCATGCTAGAACTTGAATGATTCTTTTAAGGACTCACCCTTGCACCTAGACTTTCCTTCATAGATTCACTCTATATCCTAGATCTTAAAGACTCGCTAAATACACCTACCATTAAAATTTTTCCCTAGACAATCATCTAATAAGAAAGTACCACTTTAGATAAAAGGATCCACATGTATGTCACATAACTTGCTCTTAATGTTGGCATGTAATAGTCTTATCATGAACTTTTTTGTATGTCTTCCTATGTATAGCCATCCATGTAGCCCTTTGAATACTATAAATAAAGGGTGAGTGCACATTTTGAATCTTTATGCTATTGAAAGTATTTTTGAGATACTATAATTTTCCACTAACTTTCCATAGTAACTTGAACCTCGCCCAATTTTCTAGCTATAACTAATTGGTTACATATTAGTAAGGTCGGCTATCATCCGTAGGTAAACTTTGATCCAGTAATTATGTTACAACTTGCTAACCACTGTCACCAAATTTCTCCCACTATAAGAAAACCCGCAATTACCGGCGAACATAATCTGCCGGTAACATGAAAATTGCGACGGAACGAGAACGTTTCCGTCAGATTTCTAGTGGAATTTCATGCGCCGGTTTGGCACGCGTCAAAAAAACTTTTTCGGTGTAAATAATATGTCGGAACACATTCCGGCGTACATTCTGGCGCATTACTGACAAAAAAGAGGGTGCCCGTTACGTCGATTTCCATTAGTTTATTCCGGCGTTAAATACACCAAAATTATATGTGTAAAAATACGCTGGAAATATCAGTGGAAGAAATGCCGCAACGTACGTCGAAACGTAAACAACGGATTATAACTGGTGCATTATCCACTGGAAAATATCGGCGTATCACATACGTTAGAACGAATCAAAGAATTTGTTGTATTATCACATACGTTGCATAAACAAAAAAAATTGCCTTCCCAGGCAGCAATCAGATTTCCACACCTACAAACAATTACAAATAATTCTAGCAAAAACTGCTCCACAACACAGATCTACACAGTACATATTTCAAAAACTTTAGCAAATACTCAAAAATATAAACGTAAATATTACAAATTATTCATTAACATCAACAAATATTCAAAAGCATCACAAATTGTTCATTAACACCAAATATTTATAAACTTATACTAGTTCATATGACATTGAAAAAATTAAACAACTATTATGAATCTGTGGACTCATCCTCAGTTGGAGCTACCTCTTTTCCACTCAATTGCCCCCTCATTTTGCACATTTAATCCAACAACTGATTGTATTACTCCTGCATATGCATCTGTATATGTGCTTGCAACAAACGATTGTGACATACGATTGTGGAACTATCTTAACACATATATACTCCAACCTTATCATGTATATGCTTATTTCAGAACTTTTTATAATATTTTTGGAATATCTAAAATATTTTTCACGTAATCTTATCTTCCAATGGCTGATGTCTAATATGCCGGTTATTTCCGGCGTAAAATGTACTGCATTATACAATATGCTTACATATTTCGACGTATAAACCGGCATAAACCTCATCGAAACAATAACGGTGACTATTCTGCCGGAAAGTATGCTGTAATAATTTTGTCACAAACAACGCCAGTAAAAACATCGTAGTTACCGACGTATATATATATATATATATATATATGTCGGAAGCTCCGACAGTAATCCCGCATTTTCCCGTAGTGTCTTAAACAAGGATCATGTATGCCAATTCAAATATGTTACCTCATCACATATATAAATGAAGAAAAAAATGACATTATATGCCCCATAATGGTTGAAATTAATAGTATATCCGATGCTTCATTTCTTGTTAAAATATGCTCAATAATTCCTTCCAATCCAAATATTGGGAAATTTGAAGGGATGCATGAGCATTATATATGTTAGTTTTTGAGTAAGATGTTACTCCACTCTTCTGATTCTCAATGTCTTTCTCATCTCTAATGATTGTCATTTGCACGTAATGGTTATAAAGAAAAATTTTTGTCTTAGTCTTTGGCTAGTTGTTTAGGTTAGTATTGTTATAAATTTTGTTATCTATATTTAAAAAAATATTTGAAAAAATTATTCATAGTTTGGGCCCGAAACTTAGAAGGACATTAAACATCATATTATTAGTTTCAAACATTTATCAAAATTTATTCTGATCTTGATTGGAACATGTTCATATCATAATCAAACATGTTTAAAGTTTATTTAAATCTTGTTGGCAGTTTCGAAAAGGTTTGAATAATGATTGAAAGAAGTTCGTTCATGCCTTGAAAAAAGTTTTGATTAATGTCCGAACAAGATTTTACTAATGTTGGAACCTTGCAAGGTTGGTCATGATTCATTCCAAATTTGAGTTAAAGTTTGAACAAAATTAAATCAATGTTCTAAATTATTTAAATATAGTATAAATATGTTTTGGATTTATTATTTTTCTCTTGTTATCTATTTTATAATTTACTTATTTGGGTTTTCTTATTATGTAATATGTCTACTCTAATCATACATATAAAGAGCCCGGGGTGTGAAGATACAAATGTGTATCCTAAGTACTATATTGAATGTAGAGAGACCAGCTTCATCAGTATTGAATACAAGAATACTAACTGAAGACTTAACAGGGTCAATTCAATTATGATGTATTTTAAATGTTATAATTGCATTCGATTGTATCAAATTTTAATTATTATGTTATAGTTGTTATAGTTTTACTCACCTTATTATTTCAAGAATGTTATAGTTGTATCGATTTAATGTAATGATTCTTATTTTGATTTTATAGATGTATGCAATTTTTCTCACTATGATATAGTATAGCTATTTGTATTATACTTGGTTATGTTTGCCTAATAATATGAAATGTTATATTTTTTTAATTGCACTATGATGTGTTAATGCTGTTTGTGTCATATTTGCAGTCTTTTAGAGTCTTGTTTGACATGTTTGAACAAATCTTCTTAGAATCATATCTTATTTGAATTGCATATGAATTTTATTTAAATATAATTTGAATTAACATATATGATTTGAATATGGTTTAAATAATATTTGAATATGGCTCAAAATTTTTTTGTATATATAATTTGATTTTTGATGGAAGCTAATAAGAATTTTATTTGGTTGTGTTCGAACCTATTTTAAGTGCAATTAATTTAAAAAGTTAAATTAAAATAAAAAATAGAGATATTTTAACGTGAAATAAAACTTTGATCATATTTATTTCTCACCTATAAATTCAAATTTCCTTGAAAAAAAATTAATGCTAGTCAACTCAAGCAGCCCAATCCGTGGCGCCCAGGTTTGTGTTCTCCACCGGTAAACCATCCATTGAGATCTACCGTCGCCGTAGTCGGCCTTCGACGGGACAGAGCAAGCGGAGGGATAGTAGAGCAAATCTGAATCTCAAATCTCTCTATATGGTTCTTAGCGAAAACCCTAGTACAGATCGATGTAAGCAAATCCCTAACCTTGTGAATGCATAGGGCTATCGTCACCTTCTCCTCTGCCCTCACCGCACTTTACTTTGGGCTCGTAGGTCCTCCGATGAAATCTCGAGGGAGGCCATCAAGCGGGCCATCAAATCTCTCCACAAGAGGCATTTGCTCGAGGAAGGCGCACACGCACCGGCTGTTGCCGCTCTAGCCAGGCCTTTCGCAGCCCAGGTTAACTAATCCTTTTCTACTTGAACTTTCTTGTGGAAGAATCTTTCTTTTGGAGAACATGGCTTCTACGTTTTTCATTGTATGTTGATGATGGGAAGCTTATCGTGTTTGGTGCAACCTGTTTTGTCATCTCCCACTAGAAACCGTCGTTTTTATTTGCTTATTGTTATGATTTTCTCCTTCTATGCGACATGAGCTCTCTGGTAATTTTAACTGATGAGTTTGCAACGTTTTCTTGAAATCTGAGGCCTTTGTTTTTCTTCTGTACTTGGAAGTTCCTTCATCCTCAAACTGCACATGTAAGCGGGTTGAGTGCATTTATTGAAGAGAAAAGCAAACATTTTCTCATTTGCCTGGTTTCAAAAGTTTATTTGGCGCATTAAGCTAGAGAAATCTTTGTCCAAATTTTGTTGGAGTTATTAGGATATGTATAATATAGAACTAACTAGTATTATTAGTAGTTGCGGAATGATCAAAGAGTTTTTAATTATAAAAATATTACGCCATGGATTAACATTTTTATTTTTATTAGTGATATTCAATGATGATGATATTGAAGGCAAAAAACAAACCTCTAAAGTTAATCCTAATAGTTGAAGCTTGAATGCTTGATGTTGTAGTAAGTTATTATTTGCTTATATTTTTGTGGTTGTACTAGATATTTTATATTATAAGCTAGACAAGTTATCATGTCATTCATTTATTATTATTTATCATTTTTAATATGATATTACATTAATATATATACACTATATAAAAAAATGTATTGCCGTGTCCGAGCCGTACCCGTGTCATATATTTTCAAAAAAAAACCGTGTCCCGTGTCCGTGTCGTGTCGTGTCCGTGTCGCCGTGTCCGTGTCCATGCATCATAGACTAGTATTATTAGTAGTTGCGGAATGATCAAAGAGTTTTTAATTATAAAAATATTACGCCATGGATTACCATTTTTATTTTTATTAGTTTTGGAGATTCTTTAAGAAAAAATATTCAAAATGAGGTGTTATAATGTATATTTTTTGCACATGACAATTTTAATCAATAAAACATCAATTGAAATAAATGAAAAATTAAAACAATAGGGAAAATATTTTCAAGATTGAGGAGTTATAATTAATAGAACAATGACTGAGCATATAGTTTACAATTGTATTTGGTGAGGTATTGACAATTGCGGCCGAATTATTTAATGATGAAGTGATATTTATGCAGGGCATGTTCAAGCATCTTTGATTAATTGCATAAAAATTGAGTAAATATTTACTAAGGTATGATTGAGTGTTAAAATAGAGAACGGTCTTAGAAATGTTATGTGATAAGAGAATATCATCGTGACTTAGAGGTAAAATTATAAACTCGTAATTTGGCCGATGATGTTTTGTGACTTTGTGTTTTAGACAATGAAAATCATTGATATCTCTCAACCTAGAATGGCAAAATGAGAATGCTAAGATGGATGTGTGGCAAGATTAGGAAGAATAGATTAAAGAATGCTTATATTAGAGGAAAGGTTAAATTGAAATTTATTGACGATAAAGTAATTGAAAATATACTTATGTGGTTTGTATATTTACAACAAAGGGTAAAAAATTCAGCTATTAGACGAGTATAAACTTAGTGCAGGGGATTAGAGAGAGAAGGCATAGATCGATGGTAGCCTGGATAGAAATTGTTCAAAATGATTAGCGAAGAACATGCTTAATACCTCATGTAGCTTTCAATAGGAACAAATAAAAATTAGGATTTATAAAACTGACTCCAAAATATTTGAGATAAACTATGATGATGAACATCATAATTCATCATCATCATCATTAAACTTATTCTCCAAGTTGGGGTCAGCTTAATGAACTCTTTTTCTTCATTTATTTATGTTGACTAAATTATTTAATGTTATTCTTAATTTACGGAAGACTTTTGTTCTCAATTTCTAGGAAAATCGCCTTTAACATTGTTTTTATCAACTTTCATGACAAAAAAAATGCTAAAAAAATCTTGTACCACTCTATAAACATTGTTTTTAATAACTCATAGTCACTATGAATATTTTTAAAATCTTGTACCACTCTATCAACATATTCATTTAATTCTCCACTAAAATTTTATTCAAGAGATATCATTTGTATTAATTGTTTTGAGTCATTCTTATATTTTATTTTTTAATATATATTCAAACCTACTTGGAAGCATAAACATTTATAATTTTAATAATCTTAGAATTAACAACAATTTCTTAAGCTATAATTCAATCTCCAATTTTATTAATCTCTACAATATTATCCTTCACTCTTATTTATACACTCCATTTCTAGTTTGACTCTTTCTTGAATTCTAAATTTTAAATCATAAATTATTAATTTCCTTAACTTCTTCTCTGACCCATTTAATTTTCTAAATACACAACATATTTATTTTCTTGTTAATCATAACATTTATTAATTCTATTAATCTGTGTAAGAGTACTTATATTCAAAGTTTTTATCATAATTCTAGTTTCATGAATTAGCTTCTTTGTCCATATTCATCCATAACGTGGGTACCTTTGCTTATTTTAATATTGCACCTAGGCACTAGTGTAATGACTCTTGTACACTTTTTCTCTATTCAGGCCATAGAACATGTCGATTCCCGAGAACACTCTTGTATTAACATAATGTATTAAATGATTCATGTTATGATTGTTTGGCAATTTTACACTAGTTGTTGACTACCTAATGCAACTCTTTATTTTTTTTTTCATCTAGGAATTGGAACATGACAATGATACGTACATATATACATGCATGCATATACATACATACATATATACATAAACACTGTCAATCATTACGCAGCGCTAAAAAATGCCAAGCACAACAAAAGTGTTTCAAGCTCCAAAATTATTTAGAATAAAGAAACTTTGATAAATAATAGTTTTCAAATGAGTTTAGGCCATTTAATGATATATAATCGTTTCTATGCGGTCACCAACTTGTTTAGGATGTAGTGGCGAGCTGCATCATCAGTTTTCTTCAAGATTAGGTCACTTTCTTTCACTTTGATGTGTGAGTTGTAGTATTTTTTTTTTCGTTCTTCTTTTGGCCTCTTCTTGTCTGAGGGCAGCTCATACTTGGAATTTCTCCAAGAGATCTATTGTAGTTTTCAACTATTCCTTGTTGGTTGCCTCCTCACCATTGATGACATTCCCGGCTATTGTGCAAGGAGGTGCCTCCTTTGTCTTCATGGTGGCTGGAGACCACTGCTCCTTGGTTGATGAGATTTCATAACTTTTAAATGCTCATTAGCCATTATATAAAGGAAAAAAATTGGATTTTTTTTTTGGGGGAAATTTATTTCAGGAAATCTAATCGATTTTTTTATTATAATGGACTTTTAAATCTTTAGATCTATTTTAAGATGAATATAATGTATAAATTATTTATATTACACACATCTTAAAGCAGATCTAAAGGTTTTAAATTCATAGTAGGTATTTTTTGTTCAAATATCTTTACAATTTTTATTTTAGGACATGCATTTCATTTTATAAACCATTCCAGCACACAATTATTTTGGATAAATAAAAATGGCATCTATTTGGAGATCATTATAATCTCAAGAACTATTTATACATTATATACTCTGTTGGATAGGAATATATTTTTTCTTTAAAAATTTTAAAAATATTTTTTTCTGTTAAATATTTTGAAATAATAAAAAATTAAAATAATTAGAATATGTATACTTTTTAAATTATTAAAATTAAAATAAAAATGGTAAATTTACATACATACCACTTTATAACATCCTATTTACATATCTAACACCTAAAACTTTAATATTACATACATACCACCCTATACTACTTTAATATCAAATATGTCACTCATATTTCCTTCCTATCACTCATATATTTCATTTCTACCACTCATATTTGATATAAAAATGAACTATAAGTGGTATGCATGTAATATTAAAGTTTTAGGTGTTAAATATGTAAATAGAATAGTATAGAGTGGTATGTATGTAAATCTCCCAATAAAAAAATTATTGTAAAGTAAATTATAAATGAAGAAAGAACTAAAAATTCTAAATTTATTATTTTAACATTATACTCTAAAATAATTGATGAAGGGAAATTAATTTATATATAATATGAATTTAAATTATTTAAAATTAGAAATAATAAATAATGTGCATAGGAAGGGTATGATAAATTTCTTTTCTTGGCTTTGATCTTTTTCTTTATGGCATCCTTCTAAATGGTGGTCAATGAACATGGGGTTGCTTCCAAGTAAAAAAGTAGAGTTGTTATTGATGAACCTACATCAAGTGAGCTTTGTTCCACAAGATGATGGACTTGTCTCTTTTGTCACTTCTAGTCTCATCTAAAGTTCTGTGAAAGTTACTAAGTGAACCATATTTTGTAACGGTTGGGCATCTGCGTTAAATGAATTGAAGCTAAGCGGCATCCCTCTTGCATCTCATCCATGGCTACCATAGAATAGTTAAAATAAATTTTCTATTAAATGAATAAGTTATTGATGGATCGTAGTTGGCGGGTGATGAAGGTCGGAAGGAGCATAATCGGGAGACGAAGGTTGAATGATCATAATCGGGTGACAATGGTCTGAGGACTAAGGTTAATAAGTGATCTTCAACCATGACTTCGTCCCAAACGATTGCCCCAAGCTAGAGTCTTCCTCCATAGCACCTAAGCAATTTTTTATTACTGTCCAAGCCATTCCAACCACCAAGAACAACAACATTCCCTGTTCTTGGCTAGAATTCAGCAACCAAAAATCATATCAGACCCAAATTCAGCCTCAAAATCAGAGCCACGCTAGGAAAGGATTGTGAGATGATGAATGAATCAAGATTGATCTACCTAATTTCCATCGGATCCATTCTTCCAACGAAGATATGTTTGGAGACCACCCCGTAAGTCGTTTGCCCCACCTTCGATTCAGTCCAGCTTCAATGGGCTTAAAGATCCGTTGTAGAAATTGTCGTCTTTGTCTG